GGGTTGGAGAACGACCCCAACACCCCCTGGTTGTTCCCCTATGTATTAATAAGGATTAGAGCCGCCACAAACAGATTGGGTTTTGTTTTGTTGAAAGTTTAGCCATTGCTACTTCTTTGTAGACGCGTGTGTTGACTAGACCATCCATTCTACTTGATTCAGAACCCCAACTTTGTGAGTTCAGATTGGTTTTTCATCTCCATATTTGCAATTGAGTTGCTTGTTCTACTTGTAATTGCTTGTTCCTCGATTGCTTGCAGGAATTACCCTAGTGGCTTGGTTGATCGTAATCCACAAGATCGCGACGACCGTTGGAGGTGGTGTATCGGTTGCTAAGGCGCAGCTTGGAAGGCTGTAGTTGGGCCGTGAACGTCATCTCCATCCCCAAATCGAGTTATCCATATTCTCTCATTGAAAGACCGGGATTCACCCTAGTGGGTTCATATCATTTGCCCTGCAGTTGTACTAGTCAGTAATGGCATCGCACGTCGCTCGCCTCGAACGCACGGAATTTGGTCGAGTCGTCATAGTGATCTCGCGTGGGAACCCTAGTGAGCCGCACCAGGACCACTGAGCGCTCCACCTTTATAAGTAGAGCCTGACTTAGCCATTGGTATCACCACTCGGCACATTTTAGCTCGCTTAGTTTTTCCTTTGAGCCAGCTTTTCGTTCAGCCTTCCTTGCAACCACCGCTAGAGATGGCAGGAGCCTGGGTTAGTACCTACTGCCTGAACGTTGAGGGTTTTCCCAAAATCCTGCATGTCGCCTTGCAAAAGCTCGGAGTCAAAGATCGTCCCAAGTATGAGGGCCATGAGATGCATGGCACCGATCGGTGTGAGGTTACCGTCTACATTGGGAAGAGTGAAGAGTTCCCCGACGTCACTAAAGCCTGGAGTGTGACTGCAACCGGGTGTAGCTTCGTCGACACCTACCAGGTTGTGGCCCGCAAAGCCTTGCGGCACCTCTGCCAGATCTATGAAGAGACCATTGCCCATACCCCCCATGTGGTTCTTTCCTCCTTTGGACAAGAATCGACGGGCATGGAGGGCTCGCATGGAGGCTTTGCAAGGACGGGATGCGCAAGAGGACAGTCCAACCATGGTGCACTTGACCACGTACCTGCTCGCTTTGGATGAGCAGTATGATTGGCAAGCCTTGGAGCTGAGGGCGTGCCTTTAGCGCGCCGATGAAGCCGAGATCTTCAACCGAATGCTCCAGGTGTAGCTCGTCGAAGCGCATGCTAGTGCTGCAGCTGCTGAGAGCCGGGAGGCTACCATGGAGGAAGCTCTAAAGGAGGCTGAGGATCGGCATGTCCATCAGCTAGGTGAGGCCTATCTATTCACTAGGGCCAAGCGGCGGACATTGGTTGATGAAAGGCAGGATGCCCCGATCTTGGAGGGGATCCCTATCCACCCGCTTGAAAGAAAGAGAACCGGTGATGCAGGACCGTCAGCACCTCCACCTTCAAAAGTGTTAGAAGCGGAGCCCTTGATTCCTCTCACTCAGCCACTACCCCGAGAAGATGCAGATCCATAGCCAGAGCTGTAGAAGAATCTGTCGAGCCCCAGAATGAAGATGCATGGCTAGGGTAGCTTAGTTGCCTTGGAATGCTGTACCCATAGTAGTAGTGTTTAGTCACTGTCCTTCGTATTGTACTCTTGCTGTAGTTGTCATCCGTAGTGTTGAGATCGCTCAACCGTAGGTGAATGCAGTGTCGTGCATGGGAGTACGTTGTACCCGTATAAGATCGTGGAACATGCATTTTGTTTATTTTGTCGTATTTATTGCGTTCATCTACCTTAAGTTTCGTTAGATGTGCTTAAAGTTTTCAAGGGCGATGTTAGGTGGATTACAAGAGAAGTTGCCATTCAGATGTCAGCAAATCAGCCGTGAATGGATAATATTGGACACTGTATCGACTAATTGTGGATGTCCCAGCAGAACACTTGAATCTCTTTAAATCAAATATGCCGTTGGATTTGAATTCCTTCTCCCTTGTTGTAAAGGGAACCTTTGTTGTTTGAATTTCCCTTGCAATACTCCCCTTATTTTGTGGTCTATGACCCCACTGCCTTCATGGCGTGTAAGTTGGTAATAGTTGCCTGGTTAAATGCTTATGGTGCCATGATGAAACCAAGGGCTCCCTGTGGAACAGCTGCCACCGGGTGACGCTGCTCGGCACGCGCTGGTATCGAGGTTGTTGACCAAGTACCTTTATCAAGTTACACTGCCATACCACTTTTGCTACAAATTTTCTCCTTGGAAATATTCGGGTGTTCAAACGGGAAATCCACAACGGGTTGATGCCGAGGTGTTCTCTCAAGGTAAGCAAGAGGAGGTGGTTTTGAAGAAAGTATGACATGGTCTCAGTCTACATGAAAGACGAAGGTGGTCAAGTAAAGGAAAGAAAAAGAAGAGTAGTAAGGAAGGATAGTCTCGAGTAGTAGGGAGTGCTTGTAAAAGCCTGAGTGTATGTCATGTCCCAAGCCCTATGCCGGGTTATTTCGCTGCGTGCCCTGCGAACGCCGTCTGTGTCAGGCCCTTTAGCTCCCCGTTCTCGCGTGGCCGCAGCATTGTGCCGCACTCGCCGTCCTTGTGCACTATGCGTTTTTCCTTTTTCCTGGCGTCCGGTCGGCTCTCTACCTGCACCGTCGTTCCCGTACTGGACCCCCCCCATTTCCCCTTCCCTCTCCTTTCTTCTTCTGGTGACACGACCGCCCGCACGCCTGCCTCATCGAGGGGACCCCTCTCCTCTCCTCTCCCATATCTTCTGCCCGTTCACGCAGGAAGCGCACCATGTCCCCGACCTTATCTCCACAGCATTCACCGTCTGTGTATTCCATCCCCACGCCGCATCCGCTACCAGTGTGTTGTGCCCCACCTCTGTTCGCCTATATAAGACGCCTTTGGTCCTTGCTCTTCTTTAGCATCTCCATTCCTCTTGCATTCACAACAGAGCTACGAAATCCAGTCGATGTTGTGAAGCTACGTTCGTCAGTTTGAGGTGATGGTGTGATCGGAGAAGAAGAAAGGATCCGGTTCGTCGAAGAAGTTCAAGTTTCCTTTTGGGTAGTCAATCTTAGGGTTTACAATGTTTTACTTCTCAGTCGACTGTTTCTGGATCTGTTGGTGCTACGCCATGTTTTGGATAATCATTATCTTGTTGTTTCTCCATTGTCCTCGTCTATCTCGACTTCTGGAGTAGGTCTCGGTTGTACCAAGTTGCTCTTAACCATGTATCCTTAGATCCCGTGTGGTTTAGTATTTGAAGTCGTGTAATTTTTCGTGTAATCCCTGGTCTACGAAATGTAATCGCATTTCCTCTCTTTTGTTTCTTGCTTCGAATCTCGGGACGATATTTTTTTAAGGGGGGTTGGTTGTAACACCCCTGGTGTTACGAGTTTGCTTAGCACCGCGATTTAGACCTAAGTAAAAATTTTCAAAACGAGTTTCTCGGATTTTTGATTTAAAACGTACTCGGCATGACGAGCGAATTATGTGTGACTTAGTTTCGTGGACTCGAATCAACGCCTAAGATAAATTACTTAGTGCGCAAAGATATTTAGGAATGTCGAACGACGATTCTAACGACCGGTTTATTCTGTTAGATTAAGTATGAAAAACAACTTTTATAAATAAAATAAAATCTATTAATAGTTAGAACGATATATATATATACTCGCGGGTTTATTTTGATAAGCACGAACGGATGAGAGAGAGCGCAGCAGCTTCGTTTATTTTTCCTGACGTATAGCGTACTCGTTGATTTGCATTTATTACCGTCACGTCCCTGTCCCATGGCGTGTCCATTTGCCTAGCCCGGTCGTGTTCCCGCTCCGCTATGTCACCGTTCGACTGCCCGTTTCGTCGCATCATCGTTGCGGCACTATCAATGCCTTTGCTTGTCGCTGCTCGCTCTGTCTTGACCCTTTGCTTTTGCTTCTCTTTCTGCCTTGATTTCTTGCTCCAGATAAACTTACATGATCTGAGACTCGACTGCACGTTTCGGTGTATATATATATACACTCGACTGCCTTGGTTTCTCAGCGGTCAGCACTGCCAGCACTTTTCGGTGTGTATATATATATATATTAATTAGAACCTGACTTGACTTAAGCTTTCTGGATGATTGTTGTCACGTGTAGATTGGTGAAAGCCTCCAGCCGTTGTTGGACTCAGATCACGGGAAAATAGATTGGCTGCAAGGGAAAATTTCCCATGTGCATGATTTGATGACGTAGTATATGCATATATACATGCAATCCAAAGTAAGGGCGTGTTTAGTTCCGAAAATTTTTGGTTTTTGGCTACTGTAGTATTTTCGTTTGTATTTGGTAAAAATTGTCCAATTATGGACTATTTAGTCTTAAAAGATTCGTCTCATGATTTTTCGGCCAACTGTGTAATTAGTTTTTTTTTCGTCTACATTTAGTACTCCATGTATGTGTCGCAAGATTCGATGTGACGGGTATTGTACAAAAAAATTTAGATTTTAGGAACATCTAAACAGGGCCTTAAGTATGATTATTTTAATCGTTATGAGCAAGCAGATCGTAGGCTTATCTGCTTGCTTGGTCGTCGTTGTGGCAGGAGGCCATCGACTGCCGTACGCCATCTCGGGACTTGATCGTTGTGTGTGTATATATTTTATATATATATATATATATATATATATATATATATATATATACACACACACCTGCCGAGCACCCAAGTGCGCCAGCGTCCCCTCTCTCTGCCTTGATACCTCTGCTGCCCCTGTCGGCCTCTGTCTCTGGTCGCTTTTCCAGGCCGAGTTAGGCCGTGCCAGACTGGCTCTCACTTCCTCCTCGTGCTCGTCTCTGCGGTTGCTGCCGCCTTCATTATCTCTACACTGCCCCGCGTACTGGAAGTTGCCCGCGAGCTGCTCTCTCTTTTCTATTGATGCTGTGATGTACGACTTTTCCTTGCCTTTCTCCTTGTTCTCCACGCCCTGCCATATGCGCTTGTCTGCTGCCTCCTACCCCGGCTCCTTGAGGAAGCCAGGCCACTGCTCGCCTTGCTCACCATATCTCACGATCTCTCCTTGCTCCACCTCCGCGTCTTGCACCCGCGCGTCCCGCACCGGCATCCCAACTCCGCTCACGACCAGCCGAGCCGCAGCGCCCCGCCGATGCTGGCCCATTCCCACGAGCGAGCGCGCCCGCGTTCCTTGGTCCGCGCTGCTGCCGCACCTCGCCAGGGTCGCCTCGCTGTCATCCGTGTCGGTGAAGCGCTCTTGCCTGGCTGCACCATTGGTGCCGGTCATCCCCGTGCGCGCTGCTCTGCCACCCGGCCAGCGCCGTTGCATGCCGACGCCGCCGTCCGCGCGCAACCCCGGCTCGCGCAGGTCTACTGCTCCGGCGTTTCCTCTCCAGCGCAGCTCCGCCTGCCGGGCCGCAGTGCACCGCCGGTCCACCCACGCCAAGCTCGGCCACCACCTCCGTGTCTGCACCTAGCCGCTGTTGCCTCCTCTGCGCCGTCTGCCGCGCCTCGCTCGGGACCACGACCCGCTTCCACCGCCCTATCGTGCGCGAGCACGCCATGGCCGGCCGGTGTTCCTCCCTGACGATGCTCTGTTCTCAGATTGAAGACGAGGTGAGAAGTCCAAGAAGAATGTTATACGGGGTTTTATTTGTGAAATACATGACTTAAAGGAATAGTGTTGTGGTCCGGTGGCCGGATTAGGCAGAAGTCCAAGGGCTTATTCGCATAATAGACCGCCGCTGCCCTGTTCTGGCCGCATGGGCCGGCGTTGCTGGGCCATCCACGTTCGCCCACCTGGGCGGCCTCATGCCGCCTGGCTGGGCCGCCGCTATGCACTGGGCCGCGTGCAGCTGCTTGCCACCTGGGCCGTTCGCGCCGGCGTGGGCTGGCTGCTCACCTGCCTGGGCCGGACTACCGCCGCGTACACCACGCATCTGCTGGGCCAAATAGGTCGCGCTGGCCCACTTAGCTTTATAAAGCATTTGTTAATTTCGTTTCGTAAGTAAACTTGTAAAATTCATAGTAAATCATAGAAAAATCAGAAAAATACAAACCAGTTTTGTTGAGTCTCTAAAATCAGGATCTACCTATTAGTATATTTTATTCACATAGTTCGATAATATTCTGGGAAGCTATATAATTAAAGTTGGATACTTAATATTATGAAAATATGAACTTGTAGGAACTTCCGTGATAAATTGGTAATGGTATTGGATCTGAAATCTTTACAGTAGGTTTCTAGTAATATTAGTTGCTCACCGTAATTTTGTAGCTCTAAAATAATTAGTTGCTAGATAAATAATAATGTCCTATTGCGAATAAAGAAACACCGTTGGTTTATATAACTAAACCAATTGTTGGGAAATAACGTCTTATCCGACAACATGTATATGTAGCCTAAGTACGGTCATCGTTAGAACTAGCCCGTTAACTCGAGAGGCGTACATCGTATTTTACAAGTCACGATTGCAGTTGATTAATTACACCTTTGCATTGCATCGCATGCATATCATATAGGTACGATGAGGGATCAACGGATCGATTGAAGGTTGATTGGGAATCCGAAGATGATGCAATGGGCTTCCTATTCAGTTGATGGTGGATGATCTAGAGATGTAGATACTAACTTTTTAATATATACTTACCCAGGCAAGCCCCGGTGCATAACCCCTACTTTTCTACAGTTTAAATTATATTTGTGCATTAAGTTTTAAGGAGTTGAATGAAACCCACTTGTATCTATATCCTTGTCCTATGAGTCTTACTAGTATGACAGGATCGTGTAGAATGCTATGTTACAGGATTTCGGTAGAAGTCGAGTGATTGCCTGTCACTCGCGAGATATAAGAAATATATTACTAAATTATTATCACTGGGAAAATATAAATGGTGGAAATGATAAATGGTGACCGGGCAGGGATATGATTTGGGTATTGGTGGGTGTAAGAGGTTGTGTCGCTGTGGACGCGGGGCATAGCTTGGTTACACTGCTTTCCCTGTCTGAGTCAATTAAGGACCGGTCGTTGCATAAAGCTCTAGGCAAGTCACAGACTTATTATCCCGAGCACATACTTGGGTATGGGCGCTTGGAAGACTTGTTGCTCTCTTGTTGTGGATCCGGCTCTTTTTCAGACCGACTGTTAGGGTTTTATTTTTGGTGGAGGAGGTCCTTACACCGCACTGAGTCCGAGATCTAGTGGCGGGGGCTTGGAGTCCCAATTTGGATGGGGACCTGGACACCCAGGACAAGAGAGTGATCGGTTGGTCCTACTTGTGCCTGGGGTACAAGCGGAGCGTGTGTTTTTGGGGTACCTAGTTGGGGGCATTGATTTGCGAATCGCCGGGAGATCCGGTACGGCTCGTCTATGGCCTAGCATCGTAGTAAGAACTCAAAGATGAAAGATGGAATGGAAAAGGAACTCTGATTGCTTACCACCTGCTTGAAGGTAGTACAAGTGCTTACATAGAATGGTTAGTTAATGAACCAATGCGGCTATTAATAAAAATTGAATATAAGGACGTACGCTTAGTAATGCTTCCTGCAAATGCAATAAACCCACAAGCTAGAAAGCCTTGCATATCCTTGGAGTCTTTTCTTTCCTCCTATTGGGTAAGTCTTGTTGAGTACAATTGAGTAATCGGGTTTTATTCCCCCTGTTATAGGTGATAGGTGGATGTTAGAGCTGACCCTTGTGTGTGGATACCTCCTGGTGGGCTCAGCGAGGATTTCTTTACGCTGCGATAGTAGTTTTTATTACAACTCTCTCACCAACTATTTTTATAAATGAAGAATTTATAATCTGTTGTCATAGCTTATACACTAATGCTTCATCATGTCATGAATATCTATTTATTTCCGCTGTAATTCTGATCACATGTTTATATTCCGCTATTCAATTAAATGGTTCATAAACTCTGATAAGATGATTACATTCCGCTGTTATACAATAACTATTATACTCTGCTGTTGTACTAAAAGTGATGTATGAAATGGTTAAGAATGATATAAGCTTTATTATCTCATTTGTGATTCTAATGGTAAAAATGTGGATTTTCAGGTTCTGCCCTGGGGTGTGCCCGACGGAACCGAGTAATTTAGTGTTCTCCCTGGAGTGCTTAGTGTCTAATGGAAGACAAGCACTCCTGTGAGGCATTAGATTAGGCGGTTCTGCCACAAAGGTGATGGAGCACTTAGTAGGATGCGAGGGAGCCCGGAGACAGCGGGGACGCGGCGGCGGTGAGCTCGGCCCACCGGCCATGGTGGACGTGGCCGCGCGCAGCGTTACAGAGGGGGAGAGCGAGAAGGGGCGAGTGTTGGAGAGTGCTGAGCGAGCGTTGAGGGCGTCGAGCTTCTTCAAACATGAGAGGGAGCGCCAGGGACGCGTGGCACGGAGGTGGGACACGCGGCAGCAATGGAGGGCGTGCTCTGCTGCATGGTCGACGCGTCGGCCTTCTGCCGAACACCTGGCGCGCGTCGGTGTGGGCGAGGTGGGGAGCCGATTTGGGCCGCTTCCAAGCCGAATCAGACCTTGGGTAAAAAATGAAGTTTGTTCACCTCAGCCTACTCTACATTTTTCATTAAGGCACTCTGGTCATTTGAGCAACATAATAGTGGGTAATTAATCTCCAAAATAATAGCGTCAGCGCATTGACAGCGATGAACAAAAGCCCAAATTGATGGTTAAAACGAAGTCCAATGAATGCCATCTTTATACATGCTCATCTCCATCATGTATATTTCAACTTTTATTTTGGGACCTGATCACATTGCTTAACAAAATCACAAGAACACGAAATGCCAATGTCGACGATGATGAATTCCAGACTTAGAAAAATTCTAAGTACCGAAAACAGCTGCCGATTCAAAGTTTGAGCCTCGATTTGACTTAGTTCCAAGTTGATCTGGCTCTTGGTCCAAAAACAAAGTTTGTTCTACTCCACTCAAACTTCAACTTTGATTTAAGGTGCAACTCTATGCAAGTAATGTAAGTGATTGGTCAGCATAGGTCAAACTAGCATCATGGTAAAGCCTAAATCAGAGTTTTAGACCGATTGAGGCATTTTCTTGACCTTTGCTCAACACGAACCCTTCATGACTTTTGTTGTAGAGTTCAATTAGAGTCATTTGGGCAAGGTAGCAAGGTTTGGTTGATGACCTATAATTCCATTCACTTAATAAAACAATCCAAAAAAAGATTATAACTTATCATTTCATGCAACTTCTTGATTCCAAACTTCATGAACCTTTTCCACTGGTTAAGATGGATGCATGTTGATGTAATGTACATGAAACAAGCATGTTTAACATTACTCTTGCATAATCTTAACAAGGGTCCACATGTAAGTAAAGGTGTGTTGTCCGAGTTTAAGTTGGAGGTCACTCTCATAGATTTGATCTTGACACCTTCATCACCACTTAACATGTCATATTTGAGCTCAAACCCATTGCTTAGCTGGTGACAAACACCTGGGGTGTTACAAGCCAGTTGACAAGATAGGCTAAAAAAGGAAGAGAGTTTTTCCAAATCAAATTCTTTTCTAATTCTATTTTTCAATTCCAAGCCAAATTCAAATGGAATTTGAATTCAACTTCAAACAAACTAGCCCTACACTCAACCAAAAACCATATGCTTCGGCATGAATGCAACAATCATGTTTCTAAACCTTATAGTTTATTTTATTTGCCCAAAATTTATTATTTAGCCTAGGTTAAAAAAATGCATAGAAAAATAAATAAATGCTCAAAATTTATTGCTAATTTGTAGTTGGAATTTTTGGGTGTTACAATTCTACCCCCTTAAGATGAATCTCGTCCCGAGATTCGAGAAAGACTAGGGACAAGGAAGGGAGACAGAACTAGGAATAGAACTCTGTCGGGGACCTAATACCGGGGTACCCCAAAGAGGAGGAATCAATGAACCATCGAACGGTAAGGACTCCCGAAAGCGCGGTTACATCTCTTGCCCGACCAAGCGGAAGTCTTGTTCCGCCTCGCCCGAGCGCCCATGTGCCCTTGGGACCCGCTTTACCTCGCCCGACGGCTGAAGGGAGACTCCGCCTCGCCCGACGGCTGGAGGGCGACTCCGCCTCGCCCGACGGCTGGGCTCGGCTTCACCTGACCCGCTGGGGGACGACTCCGCCTCGCCCGACGGCTGGGCTCGGCTTCACCCGACCACCGGGGGCGACTCACGCCTCGATGGGTCGGAGGGCGACTCCGCCGCCCAACGGCTGGGCTCGGCTTCACCCGACCCCCAGGGGATGCGCACCGCCTCGCTCAACCCCCGAGGGCTGGGCTCGGCCCCGTTCGACGGCCGGGGGACAACTCCGCTTCGCCCGGCGGGTAAAAACTAGGTTTTTACCTCATCCGAACGACCAATGACGAATCTCGCCTCGCCCAATAGCCAGAGGCTAGCCCAGTCTCACCTGACGAACCACGCCCTGTACCCTCATGATGATGATTGCATGGTAAGACAAGACGTTCGGGTCAACCGCAGCGTTAGATGCCATGCCCTGCACCCCTGTAGGGAAGTACCGTTAGGATGTGACCAGGCGGGTGCTT